GTCTTCATTTTCTGTTTACTATTGTTTCTTATGCAACATCAGGTGTACCGAAGATGAAAGGATGAGTTTCCATGTACCAGGCCTCCATTTCTTCACCTCTCAAATCTAGATAATTGTCTCTTTCCTACCTCATGTGTAGTAGGGAAAGGAATTGGTGTGATGCCTAACACAATGGTGACAATGAATGGATATTAACCAATATTGCCATATTTCCTTGATCCTAAGATGGTAGCTGTCATATATATATATATATGTATATCGTTTCCATCACTGAATGCCTAAGACTGGGTAACTTATAAAGAAAATACACTTTTTTCTTACAACTCTGAAGGCTGGTAAGTCTGAGGTTTAGAGGCTGCATCTGGTGAGGGTCTTCTTGCTGATAAGGAGTCTCTGCTGTCCTCAGTGGTACAGTGCATCACATGGTGAGTCTGGACACACTGAGAGGAACTGGCTTTTACAACAGACTCACAGCAGACTCACTCTTGTGACAATCTACTAACATGTTAGTTCATGAATGGGTTAATCCATTCGGGGGCATAGAGTCCTCAAACCCCATCAGCTCTTAAAGACCCTAAGTTTTAATAGTGTTATATTGAGGATTCAGTTTCAACATGAACTTTTGGAGGACATACTCAAATTATAGTAATACCAATTACATAATTATAGAAGTTTATCAAAATAAATATAAGCAAAACCACTATCAGATTACTTTTACACATAGATGTAAGATGGATCAAAAGCTTCAGAAGCAAGGCTGGGTGTGGGGGCTCAAACCTGTAATCCCAGCAGTTTGGGAGGCCAAGGTGAGTGCATCACCTGAGATTGGGAGTTTGCTACCAGCCTGGACAACATGATGAAACCCTGTTACTGCTACAAGTATAAAAAATTAGCTGGGCGTGGTTGCATATGCCTGTAGTACCAGCTACTTGGGAGGCCAAGGCATGAGAATCGCTGAAACCTGAGAGGCAGAGGTTGGAGTTGGCTGAGATCACACCACTGTACTCCAGCCTGGGTAACAGAGTGAGAGTCTGTCTTGTTAAAAAAAAACAACAAAAAGACAATTTCAAGCATTTAATCTATGAAAAACGTGATATAGAATATGATAGAACTACGATATTGTTGAAGTCCTTCTAAAGAACTGGAGCAAGACTGAAATACAGAGACTTAGAAGATTGCTCAGTAAAACTGAAGGACCAGTGTGATGGTTAATTTTATGTGTCAACTTCATTGGTTTGCAGTGGACCAGATATTTGGTCATACATGATTCTGGGTATTTATGTAAGGTTGTCTTATTGGATGTGATTAAGATTTAACTTGGTGGACTTTCCGTGAAGTAGATTGTCTTGTTTAATGTCGGTGGTCCTCATCCAATCCACTGAAGGCTTGAAAAGGGAAAAGGTTGACCTTCCCTGGGCAAGAGAGAATTCTGCCAGCAGACAGGCTCCAGCCTTGAACTGCAAGTTTGACTCTTCCCTGGGCCTCCAGTATGATGGCCCATCCTGGAGATTTTTGATTTGCTAACTCCTTAGTCACATGAGGCATTTACTTGAAAACAATCTCTCTATACATACACATTATTTTGGTTCTGTTTCTCTGGAGATCCCTGACGAAGACACACAGTTTAGGTAGACACTTGATTTGTGTGGTCAGCTGAATTTTCTGCAGCAGAGAACAGGAAGATCTGCAGTTACACTGACTGGGGTTGGGACATGAGAATGAGGATGTGTGGGATGAAAAGACGAGGAGATATATGCAGGACACAGTTGAAATGAGAGTGAAGTGCCTTGTATCAGGCCTTTTTGTTTAGGTCCATGCTGAGCCAAGAATTTCCATTAACAGTTAGAATAAGCCTCCCATTGCCTGAAGGAAGGGTGAAGAACATCTTCTGTTTATCTTGGTTTTTGCATAACCTGCTCTCCTCCTGACCAGAGACTTGATGCTCAATGTAATAGCTTTGGGCCCGAGGAAACATTTATTTTGTTTCTTACTGTAAGTTTTACTCATAGCAGAGAGTAGGGTATTCTTCCCCATGACCTTGGAGTCCTACTCCTTGGAAGTTATTCATATCCCCTGATCACTGTGCTAATATAAGACAAGAGTCTTAGCTTCAAGGGAAAATGGGACGTTGAAGAGATCTGCCTGGAAAACCTAGAGTTGTTTATACTGTAGCTGCTCTGAATGGAGCAGTGGAGCCTCTAACAAACCCCCACTTTGTAGCTGATGTTTACATAAAGGCTGATGAGGAACACGAGATATTATTCAAGATTCTTATAAAAACAGAACCCATTGGCCCAGCACAGTGACTCGTGCCTGTAATCCCAGCACTTTAGGAGGCCGAAGTGGGGACATCATTCAAGGTTAAGAGTTCGACACCAGCCTGGCCAATATGGTGAAACCCCATCTCTAATAAAAATACGACAATGAGCTGGGCGCATTGACACTTGCCTCTAATCCTAGCTACTCGGGAGGGTGAGGCAGAAGAATCATTTGAACCTGGGAAGTGGAGGTTGCCGTGAACCAAGATCGTGTCACTGCACTCCAGCCCTGGTGACAGAGGAAGACTCCATCTCAAACAAAACAAAACAAAACAAAACAAAACAAAACACCCAAAAAACAAAAAGCAGAAGACATCAAAAAGAAAGGGCAGAGACCAAACAACCAGTCAGTTTTGGCTGTGAGTAAAGCAGTTAAATAGAGGAGCATCACGGTGACTTTTAGGCAACCAGGTGAGACCTGGAACATCCTTCCCTTTCACCTATAGGCCAACCTGGCCTAAGTTCACAGACTTTGTAGAGTGACTTTATCTTCCCAAAAGATGTACTTGTATTCAGCATCTGAGGTCTCTCCACTACCCATTCTGGTTCCTGCTGCCAGAAAGCCTCGCCTCTTGGGTGGTGCATGAGAAGGCTCTCCCTCCTCTACCGTGCTCTCTTGCTGGCCCTCCAGTTCCAGGACCAGGTGTGACAGCAAGAGTGGAAGAGAGTCCTGCTCAGAAGGGTTGCTGAGGCAGAGAACCAGCCCCGACCACCTATCTCCCAGTAAAGTGGAGAGTTCTCACTAAGTACCATCAGAGGAGGAAAGGCAGCACCAGCCTGCACTAGCTTGGTAGGTTCTTTAATATTGAAAGGGCTTTTGTGCACAGAGGAAAATCTCATCACTATTTACACTAAGTTTAAACCAGGTCTTGAGTATTAAATACTGACACAAAGGTGATTATTTCAATTCCCTTCATCTACATTGATGTCATACATTTAGTATGCCTGGTTGTTTTTAGACACATCTAACACCTTCAAGAATAGAGAAACATATTCCTGAATGATGATCACAAGCTTATTCATTCGTTATACCAAAAGTGATATAGAAGGGCCCTATCACGGATTTGATATCTTTTCTTATTTGTTTTGATATTATTCCTTCCTATGATTTTCGTGATCTTCTGAGACCCCAGATTACTAAATGAGGTTGCAAGTCTAGGGTCAAACAGCTGATCCTTGATCAGGAAACAGTGCTTTGTATGTGTCTAAGATGAATCAAAGTCAGGCTACTTGTTATTTACTATCAGGTTGAGACTTTTTGTTGTTGTTGTAATAAAAATGTTTGTGTTTTGTTTTGTCATATCATGGCACTGTTCAGTCCCTGTCTTTTATATAAATTTTAATTCTAGAAACTTGCCTTTCTCACAAATATGTTGTTCTTAAGTTTTTGCACAGCCGTAAGTGTATCGTCAATTGTCTTATCATTATGATTATTGACTTGGTTCATTGGCATAATTAAAATCATATTAACATATATTTTCTCACTAACATTTTATTAAAATGAGTATAGCTTTATTATAATGAGTAGAATTCATATGCTTGAAGGGATGGAGAATTGAGACAAACTCCTTCATTAAACATTGGTCTAATTAAGCTTTTGGGGACCAGTAAACGACCATTTGTCTCGTTGGTTATTGGATCTCATCCTCTATGGTCACCAGCTTCTGAGCTCTTCTTCTATCTGGTTATTAATTGAATCACTGATGCTCGTCAGTCTTTCCTGTTTTTGGCACAGTTTTAACTTTTTCCTTGTTAAACTTTATTTTATTCTATCTTGTCGATACAGTTATAGATCACTTACCAAAATAGAGTGAAATAAAGCTTAATGTATAGCATATGTATTTAACACATCTGCTTAAAATTTCAAAAATTATGTATAGCAATGCTTTCCCACTTTTTAAAATTAAAGGACAAGTGAACCTAGCCCATCAGATCTATCTTTCCTTTGAGCCAACAACCACTTTTTGCCTCTCATTGTAAAGTTCTATTGTTTGAGTATCATTAGGAATGCACTGAACTTTTAAGTTTCAAACCATTCCAATTAACACTTATATCCTGTCAGGCATGGTGGCTCAAGCATGAAATCCTAGCACTATGGGAGGCCGAGGAGGGCAGATCACTTAAGCTCAGGAGTTCAAGACCAATCTGGGCAACATGGTGAAACCCTGTCTCTCCAAAAAGTACAAAACATTAGCAGGGTGTGGTGGCACATGCCTGTAGTCCCAGCTACTCAAGAGGCTGAGGTGGGAGGATCATTCGAGCACAGGAGGTTAAGGCTGCAGTGAGCAGAGATTGCACCATTGGATTCTAGCTCGGGTGGCTAAGTGAGACACTGTCTCAAACAAGAACAACAGCAACAAACCCAATTGTATTCATTTTTGCTATTTCGTTATTGCTCTATGATGCTCGAATAGTGCATTATTGGAATGCAAAGACCAGTTAACTTAATGTGGATCAGAATTCTCTATACAAAGGAACCGTACAATCCACCATATAAAAAAGCAAAAGGGAAAAAAAGGAAAAAGAAAAGAAAATTACAAGGTCAAACACACTGCGTTTAATGCTTGAACTTTATTTTGGAGAGAAAAATTTAGAAAGACACAAGGTACACAGAGTGAAGAGTTTTTTCTTTTTCAGGACCTTGGATTGAATCTTGCACTGTTTTGGTTTTATCTAGGAGGCTCAGCGACAGCAGCGTCTGCCGACTTTGCCAAATAAAAGGCAACTCCCGGAGTGGGACTCACGCCTGGAACAAAGGCCGATTCGGCAACGGCATCTGAATCTCGGCTGAGAACCTGTGGAAAGAAGAGAGGATCAGGCACAGTGAGGGAGGTGGGGAAAAGGACAGGCAGAGCCAGACTAACTGAGACAGTCTAAACAAGAGACACTGTATCAGTCATGTTAGGATGGAGAAAATTCATGTCTTTGTCATAAAAGACAAGAAATTATACTAGCTCTGTGTTAGTCATGCAAGATCATAGCTCTTTCCCAATCTGAGTCTATCCAGGACATGTTTATTGCCTGCTCCCTGGAAAAACCATATACTTCTCAACCTCAGGGTTACCTACTCTTCATTCTGCTTAATCCATACCCCTAATCTTGACCTCCATGTATGATCTGCATGTCCTAACAAGGCTCCCTAATGCACCTGCATCCATTTCTGAGATGCTGAATTGTGCATGTTCATGTCATGGACTCAAGTACTTTGGTGCTCAAGGAGTCTTTGAAGACCTTCCAAATTCAAATTCTTCATTCTCTCTCCCCATTTCTTTTTTAAACATTTTACTTATGTACTTATTTTAATTGACAAATAATAATTGTGTAAATGTATGAGACACAATATGATGTTTGGATCTAAGTACATATTATAGAAAGATTTAATCAAGTCTATTAGCCTACATTGAAACACACCCATGGGTTCCTCCGTAGATTCCAAAAGCTTTACCAATGGACAAAGTGAAATATTCTCTCCATAACTAAGTCTACCCATTTAGACCTGCAAATAACTAGTCAGTGTAGCTCTTTCTATCTTAAAAGTAACAAATTTCACAGAAATATCTTCAAACTAAAAGTCTTAAAAGAAAGAAAATCTTTTAGATGTGTTCCGTTCTCACTGATTAATTTAGAGATGAGAAAATCAAGGTCCAGGAAGATTAAGTAAAGTCACTCAAGTGAGGTAGACTTTTCCACACTTGATACCAGAGCCTGTCTCCAATCCTTTTGTTCTAGATTTTGCAGATCTGCAAGATTGATGTCTCCTACCTGAGGGTCTAAGAGTAGAGAGTCCATTTTCTTCAAAGGAGACAGCAAGGTCCTGGTCGTCTTCCCCAGGCTGCTCCTGGGTTGCAGCGTCATCAGCTGTTTCCTGGAGTGACTCAGCCTGGGCCTGCAGGGCGAACAGGAGAATGGCAGCAAGGATGGCGAGGGTCCTCATGGCTGGGGTCACCTGGAGGAGGGAGAGCAGCTGTGGATGTGTGGAGAGTGAGGAGTGAGCCTGGATTTATAGCTCTGCTGGGAGAAGGCCTGAGACAGAAGCTGCAGTGAGAAGACGTGGGTATGTGATTGGGAGGGGAAGGGCTGCCTTCGCCCTCAAGATCCCTTTGATGCTCCTCTTTCTCCCGCCTTTCATCACAGAGTGAGTCTGTGTGCTTAATGCCTCTTATTGATCCAAACTGTTAATGATGATAAGGGCATTACTATCCTGTCCTGTTTCCCATCTGCTTGAGTGTTTACTTTTATATATTCAGACAAGAAAAG